CCAGAAATATTTATGCGGGTAAAATAAATTTTATGCGGGTAAAATAAATTTTTAGTCCCGGAAATCACAAATACATTAAAAGTCACTTCTGACGATTACTTCGATGCTGATAGCCAAAATATGGGTTATATAGCAAACTAGGTACAATATATGTGTAAAATAAATAGATCTTAAGGTGTAAGTACATTAACAGTTTGAAGTTTTCGCATGGCATATTTTGCCGTCGTCTCCCTTTATAATTTGACATTAATATGCCTAGCCATGATGCCAAGCTGCTTATGTACCCCCACCTTTAGGTATTCTGCTTATAAGCCAAAAGCCGCTGGACTGATTTTCACAATTCTCATAAATACGGAATGCCAGAAAATAATAAAATCAAAGAAAATCGCGTAACATCGCCAACAAAACAGTGATTTTTTTAATTTTTTTTTTCAATCTTTGTCATATTTTTATGCATGCGATTTTTTTCAATGTGACTATCAATTTTGAATTGTTCGATCCACACGAAATTTTGCATGGGGGTAGGGCTAGGGTTATAATTAAACCCTATTATTTTCGAAAATGTACATTTAAGGGTTCAAATGGACAAAAAAGTCGCTCTACACTTGCAAACCAATCGACACATAATTTTGCATGAGTTGGGTTAGGGGTTGTAAAATGGACCAAAACTTTCGTGTGAAATTGTTTTCAACACCTAACACACCGCGGAGTGCGTAAATTTTGGGCAAATGTCCCCTGTGTAAAAGGTAAGGGTAACATGTGGGCAGTGGTCTATGACATAATTTCAAAAACGGAATCTTCCAAAGTGGGGCCTCCAACATATTGTAGTGTTGTAGGGTATCACATGGTCGGCCATGCATTACCATAGCGTTTGCTACTGGTTTTATATAGTCTTTCTCTTTAATTGAAAAATTGTGAAATATTGTAAAACACAACACGTTGTATTTGTTATCAGTAATTTTGAAGTTACAAGAATCCAGCTGTTTGTGTTTTTCAAATTTGGCCAGACTGCCTGTCATATCCATTACTTATACTTCAAATAAATCCTCTCAAAGTAGGTTAACCCTACAAAAAGTTGTAACGTAAACATGGCAATAGCCAATATATCAATGTACAGTAGGCCACGCATTTATATGCGTTTATGCGACGCACCCATGGTATTATGTAGACAAATGTGCCTACCTGTATGGATTGTAATGTCAGAACTTCTGCCAACAAATGCAATAAATAACAAAAAAAGTGAAAGAAAGTTCAACACTTCTTTTCAAAATTATGTTCTATATGTCTCTGAAGATTTAGCCGTCACAAAGAGGTTTAATTTTGTTCATACATGAGTTCTAATGAACACTCAAATTAAAGCCTATAGCTGAAAAATAAGATCAGACTATTCAAAATATCTAGAACCGACGGTAGTTGAACATCTATTATAATTTTTGTCATAAATATTTATTTATTTTTAGAAATTACTATGGAGTCATTACTTATAATAAAAATTGGCAACGCGAACCAGGCCAGCTAGTATGTCAAAGTTTGTATATATATACAAACTATATATATATACAAACTTTGACATACTAGCTGGCCTGGTTCGCGTTGCCAATTTTTATTATAAGTAATGACTCCATAGTAATTTCTAAAAATAAATAAATATTTATGACAAAAATTATAATAGATGTTCAACTACCGTCGGTTCTAGATATTTTGAATAGTCTGATCTTATTTTTCAGCTATAGGCTTTAATTTGTATATATATACAAACTTTGACATACTAGCTGGCCTGGTTCGCGTTGCCAATTTTTATTATAAGTAATGACTCCATAGTAATTTCTAAAAATAAATAAATATTTATGACAAAAATTATAATAGATTTTCAACTACCGTCGATTCTAGATATTTTGAATACTCTGATCTTATTTTTCAGCTATAGGCTTTAATTTGAGTGTTAAAAAGCTATAATAGATCCATATAAAAACTCAGCTGAATTTTTGGTATTTCATTTCATTCAAATGAGTTGTAATTTGGAATGCGAGGTATTTAGTTTTGTCCACCTTTTAATTTAGGTCAGAATGATTTCAGAATAGCCAAAGATAATTACTCTTTTACACCCATTACCGTAAGAATAGAATTAATTTTTTTGTCATATAAATTGTGCTTTGGAGAGCCCATAAATTCCATATTTTTTTATCATAGTATAACGCAATGACAATTAAACAAATGTTCGGTCCAATGTGTAATGAGTCCCAGTTTGACATTTCGGAGTTTGGTTAATATAGACGTTCATCCCAAATCTACGTTCCCAACCAATGTTCTCTTGGGTGTTATTTATTCAATTGAATACACAATTTTCTTTTCTGACCACACATTGGTTGGCGTACACTAATGGGGTGGGGACTATACTTTAATAAATGCCTATGTGGACAATTATCCATAATTTGGTTCTCTACCCCAGAATATCTTAAATACTATTATTTGGCCAAATCAAATAAGGGTAAAAAAAAAAAAATTAATAAAGCGGCCAAGACCCCGAAAATAGCTTAAATCATATGATGGTTATATTAACAACATTTACCGAAATTAGTATAAAAAATATGCTTAAAACGTAAAATATGTTTGAAATCGGATTGTACCCTCATCCGGGGGTTATGACCCATATCATGACCTGCAAGAGCGATTTAAGGTATCTTAAAAGTTTAGGATGAAATCCATTTCATACTAAATGTCCAATTCGCTCTACTATTTTGCACCACTTATATTCGGCATTTCACTGATTGCAGTCACAATTTTGTTTTTTTTAATGTGTTCGCATTTTCCAGCTGAAGCACGATAAAAGATCGGCATTTAATATCGTATTGCGTACCATCCGAAATTGTATGAATTCTTAAAATCCGTCAAGCCGTTCTTGAGTTATAAGCGTGGTAACTGACATAGCTTTCTTTTATATGGCGAAAATAATTCGTTATTTTGTTCACAAAAAAATTATTGAGTTCAATATGATAAGGGGAATTGAAAAGATCGTACATAATATAAAATTGACAAAAAGAAAAGCAAATTGAAAAAAGAAAAAATCTTCAACATGTTCGCTGATTTTTTACAGAAAATATATAAAGGTCCTTACGATGTTTGTCTATAGAATGTACAATTATTTTGAAAGGTCTTTACGAAGTTTGTCTATAGAATGTACAATTATTTTGAAATTCGATCCCATTAACATTTTTTTCCGATTTTTCCCCGATTTCAGAATTTTTGCGATGAGATAGCCTCTTTTTTCGAGATTTTTTAGCGATTTTAAAATTTAATTTAAATATTGATTTTTGTGTTCATAGATTATTATCTTATATAAAATCTATAAATAACAGTTTTGTCAGTTGTCGCTTTATACTCCCCAAAAAAACTACAAATTATATTAGAATTAAAAAAAAAAAACACTACAAATATACATTCGATAATAGTAAGTCAAAATGGAGAAAAATCATGCAATATAAAACATTACTATTGTACATTTCAACAGTCAAAATGAAAAAATTTCGTATTTCATATTTTCCGCGATTTTTTTTGGATTTTTTCCTTTTTGCCAAGAGACACTTCCGAATTTGTTTGGATCGCTAAAATCAGATAAGCGGTTCTAATGTTATAAGCGTAGTAACTAACACAACTTTCTTTTTGATGTATAGACATATTTAGACCAAAAATAAGGCGTGGTTAGTTCCTCAGCAGACAAATAAATTCGCAGGGTTGGATGGGAAGTCAACAGTATCGCGTGTAATAATTTTCAAACCAATATCTTCAGTAGTTTGGCACATATAAGGATTTTAGATAAATCGAAATAGCGGCCGTAAAAGTAGGCGTGTAGGCGTATTTTTTTCTTTAAAAACCTAACTCGGGGTATGACGAATGTTTGTACAAAAAATTATGCAAATCGGTCCAGCCGTTCTCAACTGATTCCATTACCAACGAACAACAATTAATTTTTATATATAGAGAAGATGACATGGTATGACTTTACCTTCTTAATTCTAACATAACATTCAAAACTATGTACCTCATTTAATAGCCCTTCAGAATGTTATATGGTGTTTGCAGTACAAAGCCTGATACAATAAAAAGGTAAGCAAGAGCTACCAGCTGATTACAATTCTTTTTCTAAGTGTGCCCGATTTCTGCCAATTTTGCGTATGCATTTATTGTTTTGAAAAAATAGAAACAAAATATTTTCAAAATCGATGATTCGAAGACGCGTACATTGCGGGACGCGCATTGTAGCTAGTCGCCAGTTTTGCCATGTAATTGAAAGATCGAAAAATTTGATCATATTTTTGAAAGAAAATCCAGGCATTTCAGTCATTTTTCGCGCTGTTTAATTGATTTTAAAAATGAGGAAAAATATTGAATAGATGAAAACAACTTGTTTGCATGCAAATTTGACAGGAAGCGGGCATAGCCTCAGGGCTGAATTTCTGTAGTTTTTCGAAGCTGTTCTACCTTCTTATTGTACCATGGTACAAAGTACTACGTACCCCATAAATATTATGTTTAGTGTGAATAAAATTGTACGTTGTTACAAAATATATTCTTATTATTTCAGTTCGAATTTGACTTTAAATTAGATTAGACGTTTTCCTCCAAAACAAAGTTAATATCCTTCATGATGATTGTCGATGAAAATCGAAATATTGGATATAATAAAGAGAAAAAAATGGAGATAACTAAAGTCAACCAAGTCAGCAATAAATAACAACAGCACAATTTATTATAATTTCTCTTCCACCCGTGAATAATCAAAAACACAACAGTTCATCAGATTTGATTCCACTGGATTTTCGAATTGATGTATTCTCATGGAATTGACTAATGAAATCCACTGGAACCGTGCTTCTAGACATTTTTAATTATGAATACTTGGAGTTCTACGGAGCACATATGTATTTCAGTAACATCAATGCAAATATGTACCCTATAAATTATCCAATTGGTTATCCACTTCAGATATTAGTAGCGAAATATTTAAGACTTTACCAATATAAAACATGACTATATTTTATTTTATAGGTATTATTTCTTAAGCTTACACCAAACTTAATAATATAGATAATCTAAAATTATTAAAGGGTTTCAGTAGACTTATTTCTGTACATATAAATAGTCTTGAGTGCTGAATGTAGTATGTTGTCGCTTCGCTGCACGAAGCTTCCTAGCTGAGTCCATACTAGAAGAAGGACCGTGCACAAAAACAGCAATTTGACTGTACAATCCAAGAAGTACAATATCCTCAATATTGACCGGGCGCGCGGTATTGTTGTGTCACTTTCGCCAAGCATGTATTTCCTTATGCCCAGTATATAGTTATGGAGGTATTGTTCGAAATCCAACTGATTTGTGTCCATGTTGAACATAATTGAATCTGTTCTATTAAGACCTGAATGAAGTGCTTCGAACTTATGTGTTTCGAATACCCACTCTTTGGTGGTGTAATACTGCACCAACTTAATGCCGACGGACACCTTGTTCTGGACCTTTACTAGACTGCAACGAAATAAAGAGACAATCGTTTGTTAAAAATCTCAATCTCTAATGTATTGTTGGTATGCACGAAACAGATTTATACTTACAATGGTTTACGCCGGAACAATATTAAAAGAAAGTCCAAAAAATATGCTGGCAGGTAGTGAAAGAAAATCACGCAGAACTTAAAGTAAGCGTAACTTTTCGTTATGTCGCCGTTCGGATACCAAAGTGAGAAGCTTAGTGGCGTTTTATAAAATAAACGTTTTCCCGTCTCGATGCATTCTCCCCAGGTCTGCAACGATTTAGTTGATGTCGACATGTTGATGAATTCAACAGCAGGAGACTTGGGATTTTCAGCTCTTTGCACTGCGGCCACAATCATTCCATTTATTGCCGTGTCAACCGGTATGATTGTTGACGAATTATCAGGGTTGCAGTACATGGTTCTAATGACACCACGCGCTCCTCCAATCATTAGTCCGGTCGGTCCGTTTATGCTTTCAATCCAACCGGGAAGTGGTTCTTTCCATGCAGCAGTGACTATAAGAAGAAAATGTTATATACGCAAGAATATATGATCGGCAATATATTCCTAAAAAATAGTTGATTTTCCTATCACATGAATCAAAATTTCCCCTAGGGAATCTTAAATACATTAAAAAATTCCACGATTATATCCCACAAGGCCTAATAACACTTCCCGATTTTAAGTATACGTTTGAAGTAACGTAGTTCATGTGGAAAAAATCCAACTTGTCCGCAACTAAAGTCTTTGAAATAACTACTAATTTCCAAAGCTCGATTCTTGAAAGCCTTCTACACCTGATAAGCCGTCCAAACAGTACAATCAAAGTGTAGTGATAATTTTATGATATGACAAGTTTGGACAAATCGGATATCATATCAAATAACCGACATCGTGACTTAAGGAATGCTTTGTCCCATGGTAGAACAATATAGGTAGACGCGTCGACACAGCTGCTGGGACAATGAACTGTCAAACCAATTTTGGAATTGAAAATGTTGAATGAAAAATTGTTTAAACATGTAAAAATTGTTGAAAACGCGAATTATAATAGACTGAATGACGTAGTATAAGAAAACATATAAAAATTTACTTATATTTGAAAAAACATTTAAATTTTTTTACATATCAATACCCCAAGCGTTGATGCATCTACCTGTATTCTTCTGCCATGCTTTGTCCGTAGCAAATGAAAACATTAAATAAATGATCGTAAAACGGCGTATCTAAGATGCATACGCATATTTACTTCATACTTTCGTAAATCGAGATGGCTTTAAATGTTTTATGTACACAGGGCCTAACAACAATTGAACTTCGTATTATACATGGTACAATAAAAAAGTAGGGGTAAAGCTATTACTTTTCTAAGTGTACTTTTCTAAGTCTTTTCTAAGTGTTCCCGACTTCTAACAATTTTTTGTATTCATTTATTGTTTTGAAAAATAAGAATAAAATATTTTCAAAATCAATGATTGGATATAACATACATTGTAGGGCACGAATTAAAGATGTTAACCAGTTTTGCATGGAATTGATATATTTGAACTGTTTGAGACCTATTTTGAATGCATTTCCAAGCAATTCATTTATTTTTGCGCTATTTAACTCGTTTTAGAAATGAGAAATAATATCAAGTGAATGAAAACAACTTGTTGCATATAATATTGAATTATTCTGACAGGAGCGGGCATAGCCTCAGGGCTGTATTTCTGTAGTTTTCCGAAGCTGTTCTCCCTCCTAGTTGTACCATGGCATTATAAGGGGTTTCTTACCACATTTAAACACTACCTTACTTTAAATTTACTTACCAATTGATGGTCGTGTTATGACTATTGGCAATTTGGATCCATATCGGTTAATTAAATCTTCAGACAAAGCTTTGCTAAACGCATACGTATTTGGCAAGCCATTCAAGAGACTATAAATAGAGTAATTATATCGAAGAACGTGATCTAATTAACTTTTCAATAATGCGAACTTACTCTGGCGTAACCTTGGCTAATTCGTCATCATCCATTGTTTTGACCATATTAATTATTTCATAGGGATTTCGATGGGCTTGATAGGCACGTTCCTCGACAACTTGTTCGTTACACTGAAATTAATTATGTTCAAATGAAAAAAATATATAATTTCAAAAATGAAAATTAATATTACATAAATAACTATCTTTTTGCATCCCGTTTTTAAATGTTGTTAAATCAATTAACATATTTAATAAAGACTACATGTTATGTCAATAGGAAATGTTTAGTCAAAATGTTCCCATCCCAATAGGAAACTATTGATTAAATATTTGGCACAATTCCTTAACATTGTATTCGGAACGGACAAGTAATGTGGCTGCCAAACCAAATGCATACAACAAAGGCCAGATGAATAATTTCACACGAACGGTGAATTAAGGCCCTACAGCCCACTGAGTTTAATTGATCCAGTGCATGGTAGAAGAATACAGGTAAATGATATGTCAAAAATTTTTAAATGTTATTTCAAATATAAGAAGATTTTTATATGTTTTTTCTACGAAGTCATTCGGAAGTTGTTATAATTCGCGTTTTTTTTAGCAATTTTTACAAATTTAAATAATTTTTCATTCAACATTTTCAATTCCAAAATTGGTTTGACAGTTCATTGTCCCAGCGGCTGTGTCGATGAGTCTACCTATATTCTTCTACCATCATCCAGTGGGTTAACCTTGTGTGTTTGGATACAGAATGTAAATGCCGCTAAGTTGATGTTTGTTTATGTATACTACACAACCATGGTATAAGAATATAGGTAGATGCATCAACGCTTAGGAATATTGATATGTCAAAGTTTTTTAAACGTTGTTTTCAAAATAAAAGTAAATTGAACAGTGTTTGGCTTGCTTGTTTGGGATACCATAGTATTTTGTTGTTGCAAAATCGTCAGTTTTGTTGTAACAGACAAAACAAACTTACATGGTTATGTTACTTCGTTCAGGTTGAACGAAAGCGTAACAAGTGGAGAAAGATGTAAATGTTTATAAGTGCGGTTGTAAGATTTAGAAGATTTTCCAAAAGTATTTTAGTTTTATGTAATTCTTTTGTTCCTCTTCTATTGAGCTTACGATCTCGTCACTTGGGTAAAAAATGTTTTTTGTCATAGAAGTTATTTTTTAAAATAACTTCTGGGGAGAATATCCCAGACAAGAAACTAGGGAACTGATGAGGATTGGTGGCTCTTTCCGAAACCTAGGTATTCCCTGCCTTACCCCCTGGTAAACATTACCATCGTTCTCCACTCATTAACAAACGTTGTTTTTATAAAAACAAAAATTATTGGGATTTTGCCTGACGATTTTGCAACAACAAAATAAAAGTAAATTTTTATATACAACGCAGATCAAAAGTTGTAATATACATTTCTTTTAATTTTTACAAAATTTTAATAACTTTACATTCAAAAATTTCAATTCCAAAATTAGTTTGACAGTTCATTGTCCCAGCTACACACCCAAAAGATAATGGAAAACAGCCAACTATAATTGTTCGTATGCAAAATGTAAACAACGTCATTGCGGAAATATTTGCGATTATGTAGCATGGTAGAAGAATATAGGTAGACGCTTCGACACAGGTGCTGGGACAATGAACTGTCAAACCAATTTTGGAATCGACATTTTTGTAAAAATTGTTAAAAAAATGTATATTATTACAACCTCCGATTAGCGTCGTGTAGGAAAACATATACAAATATACTTATTTTTGAAGAAATATTTAAAAAATGTTGACATATCAATGTTACCAAGCGTTGCTGCATCTACCTGTATTTTTCTACCATGCTATGTAGTGTGCCACAGTACCTAAGTAAAAGCCCAGCGATGCTTTCCATTAGTATGTAGATTCAGCATCGGAATTAAAGTAAATCCTGTCATGGGAGGAGCCTAATGCCAGGTCGAATTTAGTGACTGATTGAGAGGAAATTTAACACAAATCATTTGTTTGGTTCAAGGACGAATTCATGATAATCGGTTCAAATTTGTATATTTTTGGTCCGTAAATACAACACAATAATTATATCTGGTATGATCTATTACACATAAAATCCCAAATATACGTTTATTTGTTACGTGTAAACTCTACTAAATATGCATAATGGTATAATGTATCCTATAAGTGGGCCGACCAAATTTGACCTTTCCTTACTGGTTTTGTATGGTAAATCTATGAACAAATGAATAAAACAGACAAAGCAATAAAACCTGAGTTCGAATAAACATTTGAATATAAACGCTCTATTACGCTATGTTTACGTTAGAACTTTTTGCAGGGTTAACATACTTCAAGAGGATTTATTTGAAGTTTAAGTAATGGATATGACAAGGTAGATGTACTAGGTAATCGCATCAGCCCAGCTGACGGCACCTTTAAATGTCAAAACAAATTTTTGTAATGAAGAATTCGCCTTAAATGAATGCAACAACAAATTTGTTTATGTTGTTTTCCCTAAAAGTACCTTTTTATAATGTTTCAAATAATTTAAGAGCAAGTTAAGAGTGAAACCAGTAAAAAATTAAAAGAAAATGAAGGAAGGAGGTTAAAATGGAGTGCAACTCTAAGAATTAAGTTAACCTCGTGTAAAAGTTGTGCGAACGTGTTCTTTCGATATCATGGAACAGGCAGTTATTTGTTTTACCCATGGTAGAAAAATATAGGTAGACGCGTCGAAACAGCTGCTGGGACAATGAACTGTCAAACCAATTTTGGAATTGAAAATGTTGAATGAAAAATTATTTAAATTTGTAAAAATTATTGAAAAAACGCGAATTATAATAGCCTCCGAATGACGTAGTATAAGAAAACATATCAAAATCTGCTTATATTTGAAACAACAATTAAATTTTTTTTGACATATCAATGCTGCCAAGCGTTGATGCAACTACCTGTATTCTTCTGCCATGGTTTTACCATAAAAACGACGTTCGTTTACGACGAGAGGCACACAAAATAAAATGTAAACAAACACCTCGTTTCTGATTGGTTGAAACAAATTTGCCGCAACCTTTAAATGTCATGGCGAATTTATGTTTTCGCCTTAGATGCCAATTTTGACATGTGAGGGGACCACAAAAGTTGCTTTGTTGTAGCAATTCGCCGATGCGGTTACCTGTTAGATCTACCTTGGGATATGACTATTTTAATCCAAAGCCAGTGGGTTAACCCATTTATATGCAAACGTCTTCTCATGCTGTTATTTTAGTAAAAACACTAAAATATGTTTTACAAATTTTTTGCATTTAAGTACGAATAATGCGATAATCCATTTTAAAATAATACTATCGATATTGCCATGGATTGTTTGCCACCTCTGCTGAATTACATGCTTCATGCTAGGAACACAATTGAAGCGAACGACGAATTTCGCCCTACGCGGCGACAAAATGAGCCGCGAAAATTCGTCGTACGGAACACAATACCGACGAAATTATAAAACAGCTGATGAAGTTGTTTACTTTTTGCTCATTTGTTGACTACAATGAATTATACAAGAACACATAATTCTTTACGTTCTCTATTATAATTTCACTTATGTCCATCTTCTCTATTATAAATTCACTGATATCCATCTTCACTCAGGCGCAAGTACACAAATAAATAAACAAATTAATTATGTTTTTTTTTTATACGAGTAACAGATAGTAGAGTGACCATAACAAATTTTAAAGTAAAAAGTAACTTTATTTACTAAAACACATAAAATTCGTACAAGTATGGCCACCTTGTACTATTTTGTTCGCCGGTCGCCGGCGTATGAAATAGAAATAAAGCTAATTGAGTTCGCGGCGACCGACGAAATTTTCGCCGGTGCCGTGATTGTGTGCACTTCCATATACACATATGTGTTTTATTTTTGACGACGAACATACGCCGCGAAAAAATTCGTCGTTCGCTCCAATTGTGTTCCTAGCATCACTTATATAAAGTATATAGGAAGATCACTAATGTGTTGAGGAAGTTTCCCTCGGTTGGTTGAACTGCACAGAATTCTTTAAAGGTGAGAATATATAGAACGCTTTTTTTGATTGGCTTAAGTCATCGGCTGGCTTCTTCGGAAAATAGCAAATTCGAACTAAGTATAACTAAAACATGTTTGTTCCTCTACCAAAGAGCCAGCCGATGACTTAAGCCAGTCAAAAAGGCGTTGTATATAATCTCACCTTTAAAGGTTTGCAAAGCTTATAGGGAATTTATAAGCAAAAGCATTGTTTATCTATTACAAGTAGCAGCAAATCCCAGCCGATTTGACTCTATAATAATACTAGTGTGAAATTCGATATGACATTTTGTGATTTAATTCCATTCCTTGATATACAATAACAAATTATGATACCAAATTTCACTGCATGGAGATGTCAACATACTTTTTGCCTAATAATAGAAAAATTCACTGCTATCCTCAACAAAACGCCATCGGCGATAGTGCGGAAATATATTATGAATTCATAGATGAAACATTATAAATATTTACCTGACAAAATGTTGTTGAAACATGAACGAAAACTTTGAGATTTTCCATCGCTGATGCAAGCTCTAGAACTTTTTGTGTGCCCATTACATTCATCTGAACCATCGGACGTAGAGGTTGATCAAACCGCACATTGGCCGCACAATGGAAGACAACATCGATAGTTTGAATTAAAACATTTCTATCGTCGGGTTTAATACCAAGATTGTCTTCCAAGACGTCGCCTCCAATGAGGTGTATCTTTTTGCCAATTTCAGGATTGAGTTCCAAGCAATTGTTAAAAATCTGCAATAAAAAAATATTTGATTTATGTTAGAAACTATTTATTTTTCTGTTTACAAAATATGCTTCAAAATGTCCGAAATTTGAGTTCACCGTTACATGGTGATATGCCAGAAGATTTAAAAACACAAATATATGTGCCAAACACTCTTCTCCGCATTATGAAGCCGACACACAAATGGTCAGTTCCAGAACAGCAAGAATACGATAACTGATTTTTCCTTTATGAGATCGGAAAAACATGCAAAACTAGTAGATTATTGCAGGTTCTGGAACAGACCAACGATTACAACTTATTCGATAAAAAATCGATTCTATATTTCTTGTATAATATATTTTTCTTCTAATTTCACATTTTATATTGTAAGAATGTTTTTTTTTTGTCCATCCAGCATTTGAAAATCAACAAATAAGAAAAAATAAAAAAAAAAACACAAATACAATTTTAATACTCCCTACTAAGAGGTAAAAAACCTTTAAAATTAATGTATCGACATTAAATATCCTAACAAGTTCTATTTTTAATTGTACTATCAGTGTGTTACATTGGTTAGTATCCATTGTGAATGTAAGGTATCAAAAATGTGGTCAAAATCATAAACACATTGAATACCTTGATGTATCGTGGTACCTATAGGAAACGTCACCGGGGGTAAAACCCATTACGAACTATAAAGTGATTATAAAAAAATACAATTTTTGGACAAATCAGTGGAAAAATGTGACGAAAATCCTCAAAACGGCGACTATCTGGAGGTACTGTTATATGGGGGCTATACCAAAACATGGACCTATACATACAATGTTTCTCCACCGGATCTAGAAATACCAATTTTTAGATAAATCCGTGAAAGTATGTGGCGAAAATCATCAAAATACCGAATATTGGGGGGTGCCGGATATCGAGTGGTACCGTTATATGTCGACTATATCAAAACGTGGACCGATGCGTCTCGTTTTCAATACCAACAATCCTAGACACAATAAAAATTGTTCTGCCAAACTTTGAAGGTCTACGTCAAATAATGTGTGCTGCATCGTAATTTCTGCCGCATTTTTGTCCATTCCCGACGAAGCGTTTGCTTGAGGTGATCGACACTTTGGTATTTTTTAGAGCCAACCTTGCTTTCCAAAATAATCCAGACACAATAGTCCAACGGCTTTAATACACCCTCCTTCTGAAGCCACGGTCGATTAATACGAGCGGAGAGCGACCATCGACTGTTATGGCGGCTCACACCATCACCATGGCCGGCGCTTGAGTTCTGGTGGCCAACCGAAGGTGGACATTTTCAGCTGACCTCTTTGGCAAATAAACACGATCATTTTGTTTGTTTACAAACTGCTGGACAACGAATGTTTTCTCATCGGAGAAAACCACCATCACAATGGCCATGGTTCACCACTTTCGGCCAAGCAAAGCAATTCTTTAGCTCTTTAAAGTCTATTTTCTTTCTGTTGCAGTGTAAATTCTTGCACTTTTTGGAATTTCAATGGCTTTACCCCGAGCTCATTCTTCAATATTTGCCGAATGGAATATGGCGATATGTTCAGCTCACGAGCCATTTTTTGGCCACATCCAAAAATGGTTACTTTTCGAACCATTTCTTCTGATATTGCTGTTTTCTTCCGTCCACTTCCTTGACGTCGGGCTACGCTAAAAAAAAGATTTATTCATATTGAAATGCTGGGGTGCTCTAACGATAGCCACTTGTGGTTTTCCAGCCAAATATAAAGGAGTCACACTATCACGCCTGAATTTCATCACGAATAACTTTTTTCTGAAAAATTCTCACGATAAGCATTTTGGTACGTTTTTAAACTATATAATGAGCTGTTACTGGAATAATTTTAACTGCTGTCGGACGAGCGGCTTAGAAATGACAGCAGTCTGAAGTTAGTTGCAGTTTTTTCATCAAAAGAATTTTAGTTTAGTTTAATTCTTTGGTGCCATTTCTATTGAGCTTACGTTCTCGTCACCTGGGTAAAACATGTTATTTGTGATAGGAGTTATTTTTGAAATAACTCCTGTGGATAATATCCCAGACAAAAAACAAGGGAACTGATAAGGATTGGTGGCTTTTTCCAAAACCTAGGTATTCCCTGACTTACCCCCCTGGAAAACATTACCATCTTTCTCCACCAATAAACAAACGTTGTTTTTATAAAAGCAACAATAATGGAATTAAGCCTGACTATTTTGCAACAACAAAATGCTACGGCATCCCGAACAAACGTGCCAACACTGTTCTGAAAGCATTTTCGTATAAAAGTATCTGAATTCAAAAGTGTTCCACTTCAAACTACATATACCAGCAAGACTGTTTGGATAATGCCATGGTACAATGAATTCAAGGTAGGGCAGAACTACCATATGCTTGGATAATGCCATTAAACTTTTCAAAAAACTATAAAGTGGGTGACGCCGTTGTATGGGAGACATACCAAAACGGGGACCTCCATAGACAATTTTATACTTCAAGGATTGTCATCTACCAAATCTTCTTAAATACCAAATTTGAAACAATTTCGTGGGTAAATGCGACTATGATTATCAAAATACCGAGTATCGTTATATGTGCGCTATAGAAAAACGTGAACCTAAATTTTCAATGTTCTTCCGCCGTAGCTAAAACCCATTACGAACTACAAATACAATTGTTGGACAAATCCGTGGAAAAATGTGGCAAAAATCATCAAAACAACGAATATCTGGAGCTACCATTGTATGGGGGCTTTACCAAAACTTGGACCTATACATACAATGTTTCGCCACCGGAGCTAGAACCCATTATCCTACAAATACAAATTTTTAGATAAATCCGTGAAAAAATGTGGAGGAAATCATCAAAAATCCGAATATTGGGAGGTACCGTTATATGGGGGATATACAAAAACGTGGACCTATATATACAATGTTTCTCCGCCAGAGCTTGAACCCGTTATGACAAATAAATACCAATTTTTAGCCAAACCCGTGAAAAAATTTGGCGAAAATCATCAAAATACCGGATGTCGGATGGTACCGTTATTTGGCGGCTATACCAAAACGTGGACCGATATATCCCATTTTCAATACCAACCATCCATTGTTCTGCCAAACTTTGAAGGTCTACGTCAAATAATGTGCGTTGCATCGTAATTTCAACAGATGACAGACGGACAGAAAAGTATTATTGTCATCTTGGCACAATTACAGAAAATAGAACACAGCTACCCGAAACGGACGCAAAAATTAAAAAAAAATAGTATTGAAGACGATACGTTAAAATAATAATCTATAATAATAATTAATAATCTGATTCATCATTCAGCCAGTCCTTTTCACTACTGGAATCATCCAAAAGTGCTCCATATTTTCCCTTTTTTTTTTCCTTTAGTTTTTCAGTTGATCATTTCTTTATTTTTGTTATGACGCGGGATCATTGAAATGTATCAATACATTTTTCAACCTTGTTAGCCCTGCCAATTAAATGTCAAATTCACAATTTGCACATTTCTGCTCGGCCAAATTCATGTAGCTAAAACAAGCAGAAATGTGCACCACTCAGCGCCATTTTTTTCTCGAGAGAGCTGCAAGTTTTGCTAGTTTTTGCAGTACGGGAACGCGTTGTAGCAGAATTAGTACTAATTTGTAGGTTCTGGAACACAACTAATGTGTATATGTGTGCATTGTTTTGAAAAAAAAATACAATAATTTGAAATTATTTTAAATTTGCTTGCAAAATAAATGCAAAATTTCGACGTAAATGGGTAACAAATTGTACAATTTTATGATAAAACTGTTTTGTCCTACTATGTTAGATTCCATCTCGTGGAACAAACCTGAACTTCCATTCTTGTTTCGCGGGTTTTTCCCAATATAAGAATTCTGTTAAATAAAGTAAAAATAAACAAAGACTACTATTGCATATTTAGAAGTCTATTTGACACTATAAGACTCCAGAACAGATTTGCATCTTTCTAGTTTCTTTGAAGTTGAGCAACCTTTTTTATTGAGTCATTATTGTCATTAAAATCACAGAACAAAGGCTAAACAAATAGTCAACAAAGTGTAAACAAATTTTGACATTTTATCGGTAATTGGAACCATCTATCTCATTCATTTAATTTAAAAAATAAAAAAATTGCTTTCATTTCTAAGCCACTCGTCCGTTATTCCAGTGACAGCTCATTATATTGTTTACAAGCGTTCAAAAGCATTTTGGTGAGAATTTCCAGAAAAATAGTTATTAGTGATGGAATTCAAGCGTGATAGTGTGACTCCTTTATATTTGGCTGGGAAAACCACGAGTGGCTATCGATAGAGAACCCCAGCATTTAAATATGAATAAATCTTTTGTGTCTCGTACCTTCGCTCGTTACCTTAATACTGGTAGCGTAGCCCGACGTCAAGGAAGTGGACGGAAGAAAACAGCAATATCAGCAGAAATGGTTCGAAAAGTAACCATTTTTGGCAGTGGCCAAAAAATGGCTCGTGAGCTGAACATATCGCAATATTCCATTCGGCAAATTTTAAAAAATGAGCTCGGGGTAAAGCCATTGAAATTCCAAAAAGTGCAAAAACTTACACCGCAACAGAAAGAAAAAGAGCTAAAGAGTTGCTTCGCTTGGCCGAAAGTGGTGAACTGCCGAATTTGGTTTTCTCCGATGAGAAAACATTCGTTGTCCAGCAGTTTGTAAACAAACAAAATGATCGTGTTTACTTGCCAAAGAGGTCAACTGATAATGTGCACCTTCGGTTGGCCACCAGAACTCAAGCGCTGGCCATGATGATGGTGTGGGCCGCCATAACAGCCGATGGTCGCTCTCCGCTCATATTAATCGACACTGACATCAGAATAAACGGCGAATATTATGGCGAAAATATTCTGGAGAGTGTATTAAAGCCTTGGGCACGCAAACATTTTGGACGCAGACCTGGCACCTTCCAACATGACTCAGCACCATCACACTCAGCATGCGCCACCCAGCGCACAATGGCCACTAAAATCTCCGTATACCAATCCGTTGGACTATTGCGTCTGGATTATTTTGGAAAGCAAGGTTGGCACTAAAAAATACCAAAGTGTCGATCACCTCAAGCAAGCGCTTCTCCGGGAATGGGCCAAATTCCGCAGAGCAACATTCATTCATTCGAACAAATTTAAACTTATTCTAAAATTTGATGCTATTTCCGACATTTTTTGCCTCCATTCAATAAAATTTAAAAAAAAATGTAAAAACTATGGCCTTTGACTTTGTTGCAGTTTTTCATCTCACCCTGTAACTAGACAAACAATTATTCGCAAAGATGTCACCAGATTTTAGTGCCAAATTTCTGTGCAATCAATATAAGTGCAAGTGCAGTTAAATGGCCTATGGGTTAATCACGTTCCCTTTTGCACGTTACAAACAAATGTAGAACAACGTGGTGCAGGGTATAAAAATAAGCTTTTGGATAGTCGGCATACTTTCCGATACCACCTAATGTTCAGAATTATCGAAATAGTCAAGTTTGACTGCTTGGACTTCTTAAACTTCACATTACCAAAGAGTTTTGAAGTTTATTGGCAAATGCACATTCGTCTGTGAGACAGCGTGTACTAAATCACACATAACTGTAAAAGTGCACAATCATTTGTTTATTTGAACAAATTACTCGCGCGAACAGACACACACACACTCACTATATGCCATTAAACAAAAATTCAAACTAAACTCGTCTTAATTTTAACCTTAACTCGAATTTTTTAGTTGAAATGTTTTATCTACATACCACACATTTTAAATATTGCTCTTTACGAACTTCCGGCGATAGACCTCGTTTCGAGCGAATCAGCAAATATAGACCCTTGACGTCGGGACAGCTTCTGAGTAATTTCTCAACCAGCACCTTGCCCATGAAACCTGTGGCTCCAGTTATCAGTATATTTTTGCCGGCATACCAAGTTGCTATCTGTGACTTCTCCTCACCCCATTTCTCGTCCAAAGACTGCATGGCTGGCGCGATAGGTGTGAGACCAATAATATCTGCAAATAAACTGTGAAAATGAAAAACATTTGTAAATATGTCTGTGTATACACATGTATTTTGGTAAGTACTCTTCTGGTACGGTTAAAGCATCGTCACCATCGCACGGTTGACGGTGATGCTAGGCCATGAAAAAATTAAAACGCTTTTGTAATCTTAACAGCATTATTATGATTCATTGCTAACGCTTGACCATGTCTCGCCAGGTCTTTGATGTCGGCTGTTAACACACAAATCTATAAGTTAGTCCATAAATATGTCGACCCTTACTAAATGAATACACAGCACATATCTATGTAGACATTTTCTAGCCGCAGTTCCGAATGTTTACTGGATGTAATTACCGTGAATAATTTGTTATTTGTAGAATAGATTTGGTATGGAGTCAAGTACATTGTACTTATCGAAGATGGGGTGGGGGGTCATTGCGACATACCGTGTAAGATTCGAAAACCGGTTTACAGTTCTAATGATAAGGAATTTTGTGAACGTCCCACAGAGGATTACGTTTACTCGAGACATTATTACAAAAGGCAAGAAATGGTAAATGCCCAACTATAAAACATGACCAAGGGAAAATAATTATTATGCCTCACATTCAGATGTGGTCACTTAGTGGTAGACATTTAAATCCAGAATGTATTACGAAAATTTCAAGCGAGAAGCTTATAAAAGCATTGGTCAATTGATCTATTCCTCACTTGGTGACAAAATTATTAATGCCCTTGTAGATCCAGCTAAAACTCCCATTGCTAAAAATTGGTTTCTTAACCTACTTTGGCTAGTCGTAGATACAAAGGCAAAGACGAAATAAATAGTTAAGGTGAGAATACATAAAACGCTTTTTAAGCCAGTCAAAAAAATCTTTCACGTACTCTCACCTTTTTTCTTAGGTCGCTAAAGGCAGAAAATAAATAGAAAAATAATTAAGTTTATTTTCAGAATCTAATTTTTCACTTTTTGGTTTACCGCTGGTATTGATATTCTAAACTTCTCGTTCCTTACCAAGTTGGACATATGTCACAACCGAATTGGCTGTAACCTGGTATATGGGAGGATAATAAATCCAATTGTGTAGTTCTGGAACAGACCAAATATTTTTCTTTATTTGAAACTTAGACATTTCGGTCAACTATTTATGTTTGTAAACGCTACGCTACAGAATCGGATGTACCTCTCAAAAAATTTGCTTTTGTAAGCACATATCTATTGATCGAATACAGATACAGTCTCCAATGTTTGGAATGCGTAAGGGAAATTGGAACAAAAATGAATTTGCCAAATTATATTGAAATCGGTTCAGATTTGGATATAGCCCCCATACATATTTTCGACCGATTTTATGTTTTTGATGCACCAAACACGATAAGTGTTTTCGATTTCAATGAAATTCGGCATGAGTGACTAAATTTCGGCATGAGTTACTAAAATTGTCAAATTATATTCAAATCGGTTCAGGTTTGGATATATCTTCCATATATATTTTCGGCCGATTTTACATATTTGATGCACCCAACGGGACATGTATGTCCGATTCCAAAGAAATCCGGACAGAGAGACGAAATCTGGTACAAAAAAAAAAAAAATTGCCAAATTAGATTGAAATCGGTTGAGATTTAGGTATAGCTTCAATACAAATATTTCGGCCGATTTCATGTATGCTATGCACCAAACACGATATATATGACCGATTTCAATGAAATTCAGAATGTGTTGCGGAATTTGGTTACAATAACAAATTTGACAATTGACCCACAACGCCTTTGCAATGGTATTAGGCTAACAGTAAACAAGTATTACGGGGAAGTATGTTGCTACCTCGAATTCACTAATTGCAACAGAAATGCCACTCAACGCCAACAGATTGCAGTTTCCTGCACGCTTGGCGTTTGATATGAAATTAATAAATCCGAAGTACAAACCCTCCGTGTATGAGGACTAAATTTGGCATGTTCCTGCTTTCCTCACGGTCAGTTGTTCCTGCCATGTTCACGCCTTGGTAGACCGAGCTATTTGTTTATTTACGCAATTAAGAATTACAATAATTACGTTCTTTTAATTTTTTGAATTTGTGTTATTTTTGTTTAAACCAACAAATATGCGCATTTAAAATCAAAAGGGGTAGCGAAGCGCACCGGGTTCAGCTGGAATATTATAAAAATAGTTTGTCATAAGAATTTTTCAACAATACTTGAGAATCACTTATCACTTTTCTGGAATCTGTCCTTTGTTGACAAATTAGTTTTAATTTTTTTTTGCAAAAACTGTCAGCTAAAAATTGTTTGCAAAAAAACAAAATCACGCGAATTTAGGACCCATTTCCGGACCGAATTCTTAATGTAATTATGAATCATAAATCTGGGAATTGATTATTTAATATTATTTTAATCTCATTTCAGACTGGAGGCATCAACAAAGTGGCAGGAATTCAATAGAAGTGTAGTCTTAGTGGGAGAGATACATAAAATCAAACAAGGGAGAAGAAAGCGTCAGGGTATCAAGGCATTATGAGGCAGAGACAGCTGAGATGTTCATAGATGCCTACCATAAGAAAAAATTGCATTCAGGTAATATCTATGTTCTACATTGAAAAATTTTGAAATATAGGTCCATGCATGTCACAATTACAGAAGGTAGAACAAGCTTTCCCCTAAATACAATTGTTTTTCTTTTGGTGCCCTTATTCTGTCATGGTAGAACTAAGAAGGTGAAGTCATATAAACAAATTTTTACAATTTTTTCAAATTTATACATTTGACAACATCTCATTGTCAAAATCTAGATTCAAAAATCCATTGTATGCCCACAGTCAGAGATGGGAACTGTTTTTTTGCATTGAAATTTGACAAGATAAGTTACAGAAAATGCAGAGCTGGGAATGCTAATTTACACATTTGTGTATTGTTTTGAATAAAAATACAATTATTTGAAATTATTTCAAATTTCAGTTACAAAATAAATGCATATTTTCGAAGTTAATGGGCAACAATTGTACAATTTTGTGATAAAACTGTACTATTTCAGATTCAATCTTGTGGGATAACCCCAAAATTCTATTCTTGTTTCGCCGGTTTTCCTTAATATAAGAAAAATGAAAAGATAAACAAAACCAACTGTCTATTTGACACTACAAAACTCCAGCACAGAGATGCAATTATGTAGTTACTTTGAAGTTGAGCAACCTTTCTTATTGAGCCATGGGCCCATGCATGGTAAAATAGAATCAAGGTAGGGCTATGATACCATATGATTTTAATTTTCTTGGCTGTCAACTTTTTTAATATGTCAAAATGTTTGTTTGTGTGTATTCTTTTTAATAATAAACAAATTGTTTGGAATATATTCAAATTCCGGGTGGTTTTAAAATGCTTATGTTAATTAATTTTTCAAGAATACAGGTAGTCACATCGCAATGAACTGTCAAACCGATTTTGGAATTGAAAATGTTGAATGAAAAATTATTTAAATCTGTAAAACTTGTTGTCATATAAGAAAAAATATAAAAAAACTACTTATTATGACAAAACATTTAAAAAAAGAAATATCAATGTTCGGAAGCGTTGATGCATCTACCTGTATTCTTCTACCATGGAACCATGTTTTGATAAAAGCCTAAAGGTGAGAACACATAAAGCGCTATTTTGACTAACTTAAGCTTCTCCGCAAAAGAACAAAAGAGCATAGGCCAAAATCGAGCTGAGTCAACCTGAAACTACTTTGTTCCTCTACGAAGAAGTCAGCCGATGACTTAAGCCAGTCAAAAAAGCTTTTTATGTACTTTCACCTCAATACATTTTCTCATCGAATTAAAAAAAAAAAACTTTTATAAAGTATTAATTTTTTATGTGAGGGGTCTTGGACTCCATCCTTGGTCTTTGAAGAACATTTGGAGGTGGTACAAATAAAATGTCCAATTTAATATACCGTCCTTTCTATGAAGGTATAAAGATAATATAGCTGCCTACCAACAGAAAAAATATAAACTTCACTTCATATGGTTTACCAAAAACGTTTACAAAAAAACATCAACAGTTCTACGCATGGTAGTAAGTAGGGATACTTTTCTGCTATTTTTTTGATTATTTCTGTGTGTCACTAGTTCTATCAAAATGGAAAATGAGAATTTGTATTTTCATAAACGTTACATGAAATTAGAGAGAAATATAAGTGTATGGGACATGGTAGAATTACAAGGTAACCCTTTCAGGCCAGCTGGTATCAATTTGATATGTCAAAAAATTGTTGTAATTTGAATTCGCCTTCATTTACACATAAGAAAATTGTTGCATGATTTCAAACTTTAACAATGCTATTGATAGAAAATCGAGATTTTACGTTTTTATAGAGTATGAGGGAAAAAGTGTATATTCAACAAATGTTAGGCATAGGTAATATGGAGATCTGAAATTCGTGGATATTTGAAATAAGTGAAACAGGGAATTAATTTCATATAGGAAATAAACCGATACATGGAATTTCATCATCTTATTTGTACGGATTTACAACTATGTTATACACTACAGGGCTTCATCAGTGAAAGGTAAATGATTCCAAAGCATATTGGATTGGTTTGGGGAACAAAACATTGGCAATTTTTGGGGTGTGATTAAATATTGAGATTTTTTTATTTCAAATTGCTCGAATGTATTAAAGTTATCTATACATTAAAGACTTCCTGTCTGCTATACATTTCATAGCTAAGCAAATAATATGCGTGGACTCACAGTAGACTCAGCCCCCTGTATCTTCTGCAATCGTTGATCCAAATCTTAAGTAAGCCTGAGGAGTAAATATACCCTAAAGTACCTTTTAGGTAGCATGTCACTACACCGAGAAAGCTGATGATGTAGCAAAAGAAAAAAGGCTACACCCCAGAACCACGACAAAACCTAATTTTAAAGCATCAAAACTAATTTTCCGGATATTTTCTTGTAAAGAACATTATCGCTGTTGAATATGAAATAAACGTTGCCAACGTTACCAAGACTGCATGCTGTGTAAGGATGATGA